TTGTACAGTGATGTATAAACTTTTCAAACAATCTGACCATTTAATTACGGAGAGGTGTATACGGATTTTCATTTTACGAATACATTTACGGAAGAGCAGCAATGACATTGAAATTAGTAAAAAGAGGGTATCACCATAGGATCGTATATGAATTATGCAAGGAAAATCGGATCCCCGATTGACTCTGGTCTGACTGTCAGAGAATTTTAAAAGCAGTAGCATGAACACACAGACAAATCCAAGTAAATCACGACAACCACAACAGGCCACTCGAACGCCATTAGTCACGTGGTCCCCGGCGTCGTATATACGAAATCGCGAATGGAATTGTGCTAGTACTTCCAGACTGGCAGGCACAATATAAAGAGAATAATGGTAAAGCAGCAAACATTTGATTATGCAAAAGGATACTAATGCCATTTACTTACTCTCTGATCTTTTGAACTTTCCTTTTCAAGCTTTCTGTCTTTCGCCGCTGTCATGTGCACACACCTGCACTTAAGAAGACTCTTGCTGCTTAATGTATGGGTTGTACATGTTGTAGCCCACATCGCCCATGTGCGCGTCCCAGTAGTGCTCATGCGGTACGAGGTCATTCAACGGCCAGTCATTCTGGAATCGCTCCACGAGGTCCGGGTTCGAAAGGAACAGCCGCACAAAGCCCACGAGATCCGCTGCGCCACTGCGCAACACGCCCTCGGCCGCGTCCCGCGTCAAGCTGTTGTTGGCAATCACTGTACCTCCGAACCAGGGATCGGTAAATATAGATTGTTATTACAATACTATGGTATTGTTTGAAAACAATATTGATTGTCATGGTCCCCACCCACTATTGAAAACGAAGAATCAAACCGTGAACTAATTTCCCTACAAGTTGCTGTCACACTCCTCTTCATCTTCTAGATCTTCCTCTCGTGCAGTCTTGATAGACTTAGAAACTATCTCGTTCGTGACAAGATCCCAATTCATGCGCAGGTACAGAATTGACTCCAGCGTTTCCACGCTCATTCGCTTGCGTAGGTACCCAAGAGTGCACTTCACGAGTGAAAAGAGTCTCTCAACTTGAACTGATGTGGCTGGTATCCAGGCAAGATCCACGAAGGCCGACTTGTGTTCTTCACGGGTTTTGGCTCGCTTGATGATAGCAGCTTTTACCTCAGATGGTGTTCGCTTCCGTTTTGCAGGTGGCTCGGATAAGTTGTCTTCTGATTCTGACTGAGAGTTTGTGCGAGTGCGCTTTTGCCTTCCCATATTGGGCTTGGTCTTTGGTTGCGAGGCTTTTCCCGTCCGCTGGGCCTTCTTTGAACTCTGTCGCTGGGGTACTGGATTGCGCCTCAATCGAGTAGCAGCTACGCCGTCGAACACCAACACGTACTTTTCACCCTTGAGCTCGGCGCACATATCAAGTTCTGCCAACTTGACAGCGGCTATCATTCGGGCTTTGAGAGTCTTTGAGCCGATACTGTCAAATCGGACAGCGTCCCGAATCGTTGGGTCGTCCACATCCGCTAGTGTGAAGTTTTTGTGCACAACCAGCTTCACCCATTGGTATGTGGTGTGAGCGTGTCGGTCGATGAACATGTCCATGGACACAATGCGCTTCTCTTTAATGCAGCTTCGCACCACGGTATCGTAACCAGGGTGGTTGCGGACGAGGTGAGCTTGCAAGTTGGTGTAACCGGCCTTTCTTGACTGGCTCACGAATGTGTTGCAGGCATTGCAAACAGCGCCCATATCGCACAGGTCCTTGAACATCATCGCGATGACTACCTTGGAAGGGACCTTAGGTCGTTGGAGGGAGAGCGAAGATTGAGCTGGAGATATAGCCGAAGTGTTCGTAAGGTCGACTGCTGCTGATGAATTCATCTTGTGCGTGATGGTATTGGTGATGCAGAGGTGAAGGAGGGCTGGACAGTTGACTTGCGCTGGCTGAAGTGGTTTTGAAAGTGATGGATCCTTCTAGTTGGTCTGTACAACCTCTGCCGTCCTCAGAACCAGCGGAAGAAGTATAACCTGCTCTGCCACTTCGAAGATTCCTAAAATTAACTTAGTTATACTTGTCCGAAGTTGAACCACCTTGTTAGCAATAAGATCGCTGTATTGCAATACGTTGGGCGAAAGATTGATATTGTAGCAATATTTATTGTACAGGTCTACTCCTGGACAATCAATAAACAATTTAATTTGTCCGATCCCTGCCTCCGAACACCCTCTTAGCGTCGAACACCGTCAACGACGTGGACTTGTCTGTCACACCGATGAACTCGCCGTCCAACAGCGCCAAGTACGCCAGCCCGTGCACACTCTGCTCCTTAAACACATACATGAACATATCGTAGTTGTCGTGGCTGCCCATACCGCCGCCCACGCCGTTCGGCGCCACACGAACGCCAATGCGGTCCGCCGGGTACACCGTCTTCACCGCCTCAATGATTTCGTCGAGGAAGCGGTAGCGGTTTTCATACGAGTCGCCGTAATGGTCTGTTCGTTTGTTAGTGCTTGACTGCAGGAACTGGTCAACGAGGTATCCGTTCGCGCCGTGTATCTCGACACCGTCGAAGCCGGCTGTCTTGGCCCTCTCGGCACATTTGCGGTAGTCTTCTACAATCGCCGCGATCTCGTTCAGTTCAAGAGCACGCGCCGCCTCGAACTCGACGCGGTTACCATTGGCGTCGCGAGTGATGCTGTTCTCCAGTCGGGTAGCGGACGCCGACACAACCTCGCGCTTGGCGTTGAAGGACGGGTGCGACTGGCGACCGGTATGCCACAACTACAGGAAGATCACACCGTCCTTCTTGTGGACACGCTCGACGAGCCGCTTCCATGCGGCTTGCTGCTGGTCGTTATACAAAGCCGCGGTACCCCACCACCCATACCCCTGTTCGGAGATTGCACAGGACTCGGCGATGAGAAGTCCAGCACTTGCTCGTTCCTCGTAGTAAACGTTCATGCGCTCAGTCGGCTCACGCGTGTTGAGGTCACCACGAGCCGGACCGTAAACAACAACTGCACGAGAGGAAGATCTAGAAGATGAAGAGGAGTGTGACAGCAACTTGTAGGGAAATTAGTTCACGGTTTGATTCTTCGTTTTCAATAGTGG